GGGGAGCGGTGGGCAAGACAGGAGAGGTCAGCTGCGACATGTGGATCACCTCCTGTGAGTCACCTCCGGGGTGGGGATTGAACTCACACCTAAGTGGCTGCAGCCAACTTCACAGTGCTGTGCATTAATCCACTGTGCCACCAGAGAGGGCCTAGCTGGATATTCTATTTCTGGGTACAGGTGGATGACCAGAACTCTGCTAACTTAAGACTTTATCATGAAATCGTCCTTACTGAGCTATGATTTGGTCACAGGCTGATAAAAATGAACAGTCATGAAAGATTTTTTATTTTATTTATTAATGATATGCCACTGAGTCCTAATTATCTGTGGTTCCTGTTATAAACACAAAATGGAGACTATACTTGAGATTTTCCTGAACAGACAAAACCTTTTAAGCCACGTAAGTGAAACTTAATTAGCTTATTCTGCAATGTAACAATACATTAACTTTTTACCTGTGCTGCTTCTTTTCAATGCCCTATAATGATAAAAGAAACTTAAAACAACTTCTGTAAAAATGGTATAAAAACTTACAATCAAGCTCTTGCTGTCTACTGTTATAATTATTGTGAAGATTAAAACACTTCCTCATTGCTACTTAGTCAGTGGTAATGCCTATTATGCCCTGGAGCTGTTAGTCTTTGAAAGGTTCCAATTCTTAATTGCTTTTATATGCACAATACACTCTTAGTAAGTGCCATGTACTAATTTGGTTAATTTTAATTTTTGCTATTTCTCAGTATTTGATATTTCTAAGCTAATGTTAACTTCAAAACAACACACTAACCTTTTGAAAACAGATTTCAAGACCCCAACCCTTTAATATTCTGATTTTCTGTTTCTGTGCCTGCCTTTCAAAAAGTTCTCTGGATACTGTATGGTAATCCACTGGCTCTGGGACCATAGCTCCATATGAAATAGTGTACCCTTTATAAAAATACTGGAAATATTCTCTTACACATCTTTGTCCTGGAAAAATGAAGTATCCCGCACATATGCAGAATAAAGTTAGCAAAGTTTGGACACAAAAAAATAAAACGAACAGTAGAAGTTTGGGTCCAAATGACACAAAAAGCTCATTATGAAGGTACCTTTCATTGTTTGCCTAAAACATTGAACAGAACTTCCTTCTTAAAGAGATCAGAGTCCTTGAAAGATACTTCAAGTCAAAAGCAATTTTTAATGAAATATTTTATCTCTTAAGTTCTTGCCTTCCATCCACACCAACTGCACCTGCCACAGAGTTCAGGCATGCATATCCTAATTCTGCTGTATGCTACAAAAAAAAAATGTTATTCTAACATGTTTGCCTTAATGTGACTTCTTTATGCTACTAAGAATAATGTGCCTCAGCACTAAGAAGCTAAACCTGCCCCACAGGTGACCCAGGGCATGGCACACCTCTCCTGACCTGTCCATTGCTCCCCTCAGCATTATACTTCATCAGTCGGCCTGTTCTGCTCCCTACTGTCTCTGGCGAATCCTCTCACTGCCCCTGAATCTTTGGCGTGTACCCCAGCTCTGTATGCATAAATAAATAAATCTATTTTTTTTTTAAAGATTTATTTATTTGTTCATACAGAACTGGGGTATAGACCAGAGGCTCAGGGGCAGCGAGAGGCTTCACCAGAGACAGAGTGGGGAGCAGAACAGGCAGATCGACGAAGTACACTGCTGAGGGGAGCAGCGGGCGG